AAAAAAAAAAAAAAAAGAAAAGACGTTGAAAGACCATAAGATAATAGAAACAGGAAAGACGAAGTGGGGCATGTGGCCAAGGGCAGAGGTTGACTGACAGAAGTTGTGCAGGATTAATAAAATCACCGACCAGACCCCAAGTGCAAACAACGCCTGAGGGCTCAGGGGAAGAGCAGCACCATGGGAAGAGCAGCAGTTCAAGTCACAGGTTTATAAACTCACTGGCAAGATCCGCTAGGTGTCCCTCAGGAAGTGGAAAGCATTAATAACCAGCCCCAAATCCAATCTGAATGTCTCCAGCATGAGGGAGAAAGGGTAGATTTACCGAGATTTATCTCAGGTAAAGGAGGCACCTTAGGGAACCAAAGCTTCCTTCCCTCACTCTGCCTCACAGGTGCTCCTGGCAAAGCGTCCTTTCCTCCCCTGTCACCCCGTCCCCTTCGTCTCCCTGGGCCTCCTCATCCCCCTCACCCCCTTGTCTCCTTCATGGAACTTGGACTCCATCCCCCACTGAGCTCACATTCTCAGGGCAGTCCCCTCTGCTCAGCTCAGGTCAACAAAGACGCATAACACAAAGGCCAGCCGGCATCTTCTCGCCTGACCACAGCACACAGCACAATCAATGCCTCGTTTCTGGGAAGCAGCCGCCACCAGGCAGACCAGGGGACACAGGGCAGAGACCACAGTTAGCAGCCAGGCTTAGTTGCTGCCCCGTAGCTTGGTCCCATGGGCCTCTCAGGGACCTGAGTGGAATCCGAGGGACAGGTGGGGCAGGAGTGTTGGGAAGGCACATTTAGTGCCAAGGTGATAGTGCTCGCTGAGGCATGAGGGCAGCCTGTCCCTTTATGAGGCACCTGCCAGATGCCTGCCCCTCTGTGAGCGGTGAGATGGAGAGTTTGGCTTTCCAGCCCCAGTCTCCCACCTAAACACCAGACTTGTGCTCCATGTGAGTGTCTCAAAGGTAGCAGGTCTGAGAACGAGCATTTGATCCCTCCTGCCCAGGATCTGCTCGGCTCAGTCTCCACCATCAGGACAGCACTGCCCTCGCCCAGGCTTGGCCCTAGGGGTGGCCTGGAAGAGTCAGCCTAGGCTCTTCCTTCCATCTCATGCCCTGCAGTAAATTCATCAGAAAACCCTGTTAAATATATTCCCAAATCTGGCCACTCGTTAGTGTCTGCTGTGCACAACTCTATGGTCTGAACTGGAACACAGTGACCGTGTGGTCAGCCTCCAGCCTCGCTCATGTGGGACCTACCTGAAGCACAGTGACCTTGTGAATGGGCCCAATGGGAGCACAGCGACTACATGGTCAGCCTCCAGCCTCACTCACATGGACCTGACCTAGAGCACAGTGACCACGTGGTCAGCCTCAGGCTCATTCATGTGGGCCCGGCCTAGAGCACAGTGACCGCGTGGACAGCCTCCAGCCTCACTCACAGGGGCCTGGCCTGGAGCACAGTGACCACGTGGTCAGCCTCCAGCCTCGCTCACATGGGCCAGACCTGGAGTACAGTGACCACGTGCTCAGCCTCCGGCCTCGCTCACGTGGGCCTAAGCTGGAGCA